TAATCAAAAATTCTACAGAGAAATCATCGCGATCGAATGAGGTTGGCAACATGGTATCAGCCCGGACCTCGCACCCTACGATTTTTGGTTATTCCCTACGTTGAAAAAGGGCTTAAGAGGCAGGAAGGTTAACTCCATCAACGAGATAAAAAAAGCTGTTAAAACTTTCTTAGAGAACATCAGGCAAAAAGAATTCAAAAAAACATATTCGAAGAAGGGGGAAGAACGGTTGCGGCGCTGTGTGGCAAGTGATGGAAGGTATTTTGAGAAGGAAACTAGTGTCCAGTGGTCCAGTGAAGAAGAGTAAATGCTAGTAATCTTGGTAAGATTCTGTAAAATTGATTTAATAAAACCACTTGAATCTTTAATTCTTTGTTTTTTTTTCCAGAAAAAAGTTAAAAATCCTGTAGGGGTCACCTCTACAAGTCATTTTCAAAACCCTGTAACTTGGTCATTTTTTGACTTAAAGAGCTCAAAGAGCGACGCCAAGAATGGCACAATTTGGGCCAGAAGGGATTTTTCTGAAACCGGGCCCAAACGATACCTTATGATACCCTAAAACTCTGGTTAAAATTTTAGCTTGAGTATACGCACAGTTTTTGAGAAATGAGGGGGCAAAGTTGCCAAATCGCCATCATTCTGGACAGCATTTCTACAGCAAAAAGACGGGAAAAATGGACGAAAAAGTTACACCTTTGATGGGTTTCGGCTGTAAATGTTCTTATTGGGCCCCCAAGCATTTAACTGTGTTCAGTTTCAAAAATTTTGATCGCACAGTGGTCCAAAGTGGGGAGAAATCGTCTACAAATCATGATTCTTTGTAAAATTTTTAAAAATAGAAATAAAATTGTCGATCTGCTGCAGTTTTCATGGCTGACAATGTTCTTATCGGTCCTCAATGCATGAAATTGTGTTCAGCTTCACAAATTTACATCGCACAGTGGTCAAAAATGAGGGAATTAGTAGACAAATTAAGATCCTCTGTGAAACTTTTTTTAAATGAAGTGAAACTGTTGGTCCCCAGTAAAGTTTAGATCCCGAAAAAATTAATATATTTTATTTTCTTACTTATTACTGCATGTCAGACCGTATTGTCTATAGAACGTTGTTATAGAATAGACTTTGTAGCATTATCTCAATAAAATATGCTAACTTTCAGAAATTTAAAAAAAAGGAGGAAAAATGGAGAGAAAAAAATAAAAAAATGATTTAAACAGTCCAAAAAATAATTTAAAGAATTTTTCCGGGATCTAAACTCTACTGGGGACCAACAGTTTCACTTTATTTTTAAGAAGTTTCACAGAGGATCTTAATTTTTCCACTAATTCCCTCATTTTTGACCGCTGTGCGATGTAAATTTGTGAAGCTGAACACAATTTCATGCATTGAGGACCGATAAGAACATTGTCAGCCATGAAAACTGCAGCAGATCGACAATTTTATTTCTATTTTTAAAAATTTTACAAAGAATCATGATTTGTCGACGATTTCTCCCCACTTTGGACCACTGTGCGATCAAAATTTTTGAAACTGAACACAGTTAAATGCTTGGGGGCCCAATAAGAACATTTACAGCCGAAACCCATCAAA